AAGGCGCCTGGTGGACGGTAGAGAACAACAATGGTTAACTGTATAGGATGGGTTACTGTGACGGCATGGAATTCAAAGGTGGAAGGAGTGAAGTTAGGTAGCTTGAAGAGGGAAAAGCTCCATTTGGGAGAGAGCAGGAGACCAGTGCCACCTCCTCTGCCAGTGGGTCTGGGTGTATGGGAGAAGGAATATGCAGTGGAGAGAGCTGCTGGGGTGGATGTGTTGGATGGAGTAATCCAGGTCTCAGTGAGAGCAAGGAAATCCAGAGACTGCAGGGAGGCGTAGCCAGAGATGAAGTCAGCCTTGGGAACAGCTGACTGGCAGTTCCACAGGCCACCAGAAACTAGATGTTGGATCTCAGTGGAGCACGTGGGATAGACGAGAGCAGGCCGGTTATATATCGATTAGGAGATACACGGGGCCAGTGATAATTGCGAGAAGACACATGAACAGGAATGGAGAAAATACACATGATTATAGCATGAGGGGCTAGAAAACTAAAGAAAAGATAAATAAGACACCAGCTCAATCAGAGTAGGATTTGCCTCCTCTTTGCCTCCCTCGTGAATCCCGCAGGACTCCAATGTCTTTGTCAGTCTTACTCCCGCAGGACTCCAATGTCTTTGTCAGTCTTACTCCCGCAGGACTCCAATGTCTTTGTCAGTCTTCGGCTGTCTGACGCTGAAGCTGACGCTCCAGGAAAGAGCTACCCGAAATGGATGCCTGATTGCTCAGTTCTCACAGCTGTAGGGCCACGGCCCTCTAATTAGTTAACTATCTACAGCTGATGGGCGACAATAGACTGGCCGTGCCTATATTAATGCAGGCTTGAGTGCTGAGACCTGTAAAGCAGGTTTCGCCTAAGCAGATCTGAGATTTAAAATCTCTCAAACGCGATTTAGCCGTTTAAGCTACAATAACAATTTATACAGAGTCGAATAAATGAAACAGAGAAGTCTAATTAAACAAGAATATAACTTACAGTGGTTGCTGCGTCAATAGGTAATGTCGTCACCGGGTCCAGATGCACACAATGTCTTTCATTTTTTGTAAAGCACTTTGAATTGCCTTGTGTTGAAAGGTGCTATATAAATAAACTTGCCTTGCCTTTATATCAACAACACTGATGCATTTGACCATCTGCCAATGGTGTGTGTGTGTGTGCCTATCGTGTGTGTGGTTGGGCATTCACCCCGCGTTTATGTGCATAATGTCGGGGGAAAAGAGATAATCACAGTTACGCTGTTTAATGTTTACATTGTGTATATTGCAAGGAAAAGTAGCTCTGCTGTACCTGAGCTAACACCTAATATGAAATAATGTATTATGTCCTGGTCGGTCCAGTAATAGCGCAAGACAATGACCCCCACATTTGAGCAGTATTTCTGATAACTTTATTCACTCACTTGATAATAGCACTGGAGGAACTGGCCATTTTCAAATGTTATACAACTCTTATACTTCATCTTTTAGAGTAAAATAAACCAATAACAGAGCATTAATAGGCTAACGCTAAACATGAAGCTAGATATGGAACCAGAGCCTGTAGATAATTAACTTATCTTATCAATGGCTAAGCTAATAGATCCAAACATAACTCCAATGTGTAATCCTTCCAGTCCCTGCAAAACCACACCTTGTATATCAGATAATATGTGTTTATTATGTGTGGACAGAGTTAGTTTCGCTAAGCTCTTTTGCCCACATTTCTTTTAAGGAGTGATATACAGTATTATCTGCTCGCTCTCAGAAAGGACAAGCACAATCCCATAAGGTCTTGATTACAATTCATAAGTATAAAGTCATATAGGAATACTTACACTTATACAACACTTATTTACTTATATTCTCCATCTACTACAAAAAATAGACTACAATCGTGTCACGACTCTTGGAGCTCATTCTAATGCATAATTATGTAAATACAGGCTTGGATTGAATTTTGATTGAAATATTTCACAATCTTAAAAAGATATGTCCTGCTCTGGTGACTCAGTGAGCTGTTTTCACAATGTGCTACCGGCATCATGATAACCTTTCTTATGTTATCGTGCAAAATATTTGTATTTTTCCTTTACTCCCTTCCGAATTTTTTGGGAAAGGGCATAGTTTTCTGAAAAACATAAAACTGTGTCGTTTTTCAACTCAGATGAATCAGCGTGTGAGTCAGTTAATGGCCCATTACAAGGTCCTGTATTTTTTTAAACTATGGTAACAATTTGTGGAAATGCCAAGAGGGATTTAGTGTATGTCCCAGAAGGCAACAGCGATTCTGCTAATGACTCATTCTGACTTGTCCTCAGTTACGATAGATGAAAGATAGACGACTTTCTAAGAATCTGATGGAAGGAACACGATACAACCTTAGAATATTTAACATATGTAATTTAAAGTGATCACACTTGAGTATTCAGAACATCAGGTTATGATAATTGAATCCATATGAGTATGTAATGACAACTTCTGACTTATCTTTATACTTTTCACAAGTTTATACGATATCAGGATTGGGGTCTAATCGCCAAAGATTATTTATATTCTATCGTATCACCTGTCAAAAGCTTTTCTTCAAACTAACAATTAAGTCTCTCATCTGAAAGAACTCATTTACAACATAGCCGAGTAAACAAAACTATCAAACAATTTGATCAGAGCCAAATCGGTACAACTAAAAGTACAACAATAAGTTGAACACAATGAAAAACACAATTATAAAACTGGGTTTGATGAATACATCTACATTTTATACAGGACAAATATATCTTTCTGTTTGTTGTTATTCTATGATATTAAAATGAATACCACATTATTATACTATTTATCATTATACATTTTTTTATAAAAACATAATAATTGATCTTTTCATCTACAATAGCAATAATAAGTCTAAATCTTTTTTCGTAGAGTCTTAACATTTTGAATATTTTTGTATTTAAAAGCAAACTCAATGGGTAGGTGTTTTCCCCCTAACCCAACCCTTTGACAATAGCTGCGTCTTGATATCAAATGTGATCAACTGCATTAAAAACTACTCCCTGTCTGCCACCCTGCAATAACATACTCTTTCCACATGCTCATGAAATATCTTCTAAGTGATTATATGTCTTCTTTTGGACTACATCCAACCCTTAAGTGCTTCCAGGGAAATCCAATTCAATTGAGGTTAATACAACAAGAATAAATAGTTCAAGGTATTTTGTCTGAGGTGCCCTTGTAGGAAGATGGGTCTGCATCCATTGAGGCCCCCAGCTAATTTAATATTGCGACTACACTGTAAGTCATAATCAGGTGCCATCCAATGCGGCCTGAAAACATACATACAGTTTTTGCTGAGCTGTCCTTGTCAAGGGACTTCCTCTTAGAAATAGTGTGTACACTGTCGCCTAACAATTGGTCCCGTCCCATTCGGGGCTCTACTGAGCACCTGAGCTCTGAACAATTCAACCTCTGAACTTTGATGCATCTGCCTAATGTTATGTTCTATATGTACCATATTCATTATTATCTTCACAATGCAGCGAGAGAGGTTAAGTTGAGGGCTTTTGAGGGTCTCTGCCATGCCCACAATAACACTCCGTTCCTGCCTGAACCTCTACTGACTCCTTTGACTCTAACTCTGGATGAGAGCTGATTATTAAGTCTATTAATAGGTCTCATCCCAACAAGGATCAAAACATATGACTCCCCTCTGCCTGCTTGAACAAATGCCCCAGAAGCACAGAGTAATTTCAGTAAATGACTCTTCGGCAAATGAGCTCATTGATCAAGTTAGTGTTGGGCTATGAGAACTACGGCAATTACATCTCAGACGGCCCCTTCATTTAGTTTACAGCTGTGTTTTTTTAGTTGAAACAGAATTCTCTGGTTGAGTAATGTGATGCACCGAAGAAGAAACAGTATCCATTCTGCCATTTGAACAACAGTCATCTGTCAAAGAGCCAACCCGCCAAGAGATCAGGGTGAGAACTGCTCGTTTCTCACTGTGCATCCAAAGATGTCTTGAAGGGTTCTTCCTACAGTAAGCCGTGATCTGTGTTCTTGATATTGTTCATTAAACCGTTTCTGTATAATCCATGTGATGTTAGGTTGCAATGAACTATTATGATTTTGCCGTTGTTCATTGGGAGTGTTAGGAAGGTATCTTTTGATGTCCTGGATTACTTTATCAACCAATGACTCTTTTAACATAAATAAGGTGGTCATGTCAGTATTGTCTTAAATCTGATTTAAAGAAATGTGAACATAATACCTGTTGCAATGAATAAGATGTGGCCAGTATTTAAGTCAATAACATAACAAAGTTAGTAACACTATCAACATAATATTAGGACAGATTCAACAGAATTGACTTACTTTGGGAAAGAGAGGTCAATAAATCAGCGTATCTTTAAAAAAAATTAAGTCAACTACCCAGTACAAACGCTTGGTTAGCCCTCCTTAAAATGATTTGGTTTGTAAAATGCTGTCCAAGCTGAATCTAGAGTTATTTTCCCTCTCCATTCATTTGACTAAGTCCAGACCAAATGTCACAATGCCGTTATGGAGCAAATTTGAGGCGGGGCTTATGGAAAATGCAAGTGTGAATGCTCAATGGGCCCAATCTCCGGAAGATCTGGGTCATTTTGTTCTTTCGAGTAGTGCTGGGCGGTAAACCGTTTCATACCGAATACCGTGAACTTTATACCGTATGATATTTATTTTTCATATTCCGCAATACCGTTGAAAAAGTGGCGAGAGGCGCTCAAGCAGTGCAGCAGTGAAAGCTGCCGATAATTGCGCGGAGGAGAGGAACTATGTCTGTCGTTCGGAGGGTTTTTGGATTTAAAAAAATCTAAAATACCGTGATATGAGTTTTTTGTCTTCATGCATTACTGCATAATTTTCAAAGGAATGACAGGGTCCCACCTCCAATGCTGTATCCAGTTCTCTTCATACATCCATAGCATAGAGCTATCGGCAGCCACAGGACACAGATGTAGCATTAGTTAGAAGGTAACACTTCAATTGTTGGCTCCATCTCCCGGGCCTGATGACCGGTTCCCTGAGCGGCTGCTCTCCTGGATGTGGGAGGAACAGGACAAAGATGCAGGTCTTTTGCTCTCTTTGGATTTAGTCCAAATATAAACATTACACAGACTTTACTGCCCCCAGTTAATGTTAGTGCTACATTAAAAAAAAAATGGGTCGAATACACTACCTGCTTTTATAGAGTTTAACCAGTGTGGTAGAATTGTACATATTCTTGCCCTTATCTTAGATGTAGCAGAGATAAAATGCTGCCCCCTATTTCTTTGAAACAGATGGCTTGGGAGAACACATTGCAACTGTAAGAATATGTTATGTTACAGAGTGTGCTTCCTCTATTTCTTTTTCTACGGATATCTATATTTCTTCTAACAAAAGGTGTCTTAAAATGCTGTGAGAGGTGTGTTACTTCCACAATTTACTCATATTTATTTCCAGGATAGTAGTACTTTTGGCCACTCGCATGCCTCCAGATGCGTTTTGTTTTTAAAATCTGAGTTTATTTGCTCAGTACCCTACTCGGCCCATCCTGGTTTAATATTTTTAGATTTGTCAGTCCGCTGCATCAATAATCTCGCCCACCCCCCCCCCCCCCTCCTTCTCAGATATCCACTTACATTCTGATGGGCACTGAGCAGCAGGACATGTGAGCAGCCTCTGGTTGACCTTGAGCGACACAAAGACACAGGGAAAGAGACAGACACAAGCTTTCCATTATAAGTGTGTGTATCCCATTCAGCAGCAGGACAATGGGCTAAATGAACCCCATGGAAAAATAAATGAATTAGAAGCCCAATAAGACCAGCCTGATAATAAGAACAGTATACGTATATACTGTGGATATTGTCCCATTCTTCCGTTTCCGACACTGGACCTTGGAGACGAGCCAGTGTGTTAACCTGTGAGGTCGTTTTATATCCTCTTGATCTTCTAAATATATTTTGTAATCCTTCTCTTGAGAACAATGCCGTTTTATGTGTTCAGACCCTGGGCAGAGTTTGCCGGCCCACAAGGACAATAATACTTGTGAGAGTGAAACAGTGAGGGAAATGTAACTCAGGTCCAATCACGTTAAGTGACATTACCAAATCAAGAACCGCTTTGCGAAGATAAGGAGAATCCAGAGCTCCTAAGGCTCATGGATAGGCTGGCGGCTAAGTGTTTATGGATAAGTCACATGTACAACAACTGTTCCTCCTAACAATCGTTGTGGGTGCAGCCAAAGCCAAGATATACTGTATCTTATTCCTCGGTGCCATAGAGCTTCATTGTTTTACAAAGGCTATTAAATACACATAAATGAGACACACTGCTGCATTGCGTGACATGATTCTTTATTATGATATACACATAATACAGAAGTAGGCCCCAATAAATGCTGTGTTTACTCTCGATAAGTAAAGTGTGCTAAAAAACGTAAGTTCTCTGCTGTATTTGTAAGACGGCAGGTTTTTTTATGCCTTTCAACCTTGACAAAGGCAGCGCATGCCTTGCCCACTAATATCACCTTTCACCACAAAATAACTAGACAAAGAATAACACCATTATGTAACACTTGTGCTTCTATTGACTAGCGCTCCAACACATTGTACGTGATAGGCTAAGGGGCGGGACATCTGGGCTCTGGTTTCAGACAGAGGGTGAAAAGAGGTGCTGCAGCACAGTAGGACACAAATAAAGACCTTTTGAACATTAAAGCATGGAGACATGTCCCAGTAGAGGCATACATGCTGTATCAATCTGCAGAGGAGCATAATAGGCCCCCTTTAATGTTCTTGGTATTGTCTATTTGCCATGCCACTAATGTGTCAATTCTGTCAACTCGACTTTCCATGTCCTCTTGAGCCTTCCATGCACGTCCCTCCAATTCAAAGCTTTTTTCCTTGGTGCTTATTTATTGAAATAATTTCTCTTTGCCACATACAAGCTACTTAGATTTCATTTACTCCAATGTTAGCAAATGGACGGATGTTTCATGAAAATGTATCAATATGTCTTCAATGTGTGTATTCAACAATTCCTGTTTTTTTCTTCTATTCTTTAAAAGATAATTCATGTTTGTCTAGAACTCAAAAGTTGTTTGCTCCGTGTTCTTTGTGTTTCTCCTCATATTTGTGATCTGAGCACTTGCAGAACACACAATGCCATCAATCACTCTTTTCCAAGCATTAAATAAAGGTTAAATAAAGAAAAGATGGATGTGACCTTCCTCAGCCATGGCTTTAGCGGTGGCAAACTTAAATGAAGTCTTCCACCATCACGCTTGTATATAACTCTGCGGCAGAGAAGAGAGAAGCTTTACCCATCTCTCTCAGACCTAAAGTGATTTAGCAGAGATTGCAGTTTGAGATGGCTGACCCTTCTGTTTTACCCACCGCTGACCTTCTCTTCAGACTCCCAATTAAAGTCCTTCATTTAGACATGGTGGTTCAGCTTAAGTCTCTGTAGATGTTGACCTTGCCTCTATCGAAACCTTAAGTCGAGAAGTCCACACTATTATCCTCAACAGCATGTAGTTTTACAATACTTTTTTTAGAAAGAAGATATGCTATTTGCATGAGAATGTACTGTATTTGGGTTTGTTCTGAAAATGTTGGTTTCATTTTACACAACAAAGCTCTTTCAAAAATCAAGTTTTTAGTCATGCTAATAACTGCAAATGGAAGGAAGACAGCTATATATTATGTCTGAAGCCGAGGCTATAGGTATACACTTTATTATCCATTTCTATGTCGTCAAAGACAAGCTGAATCTCACCTGGAGTCTTTGATCAGAAGTCCTGATTCCACTGACTCAGCTACACTAGCACCATCATTGGTTTGAGTGAAATGTGAGAGTTAGCACTGAAATAATGTTGATGTTCTAGTACAGTATCCTATGTTCCAGGCATGATGTATAAAGGAGAGGGGTCTTCAGCAAATCAGGTTGTTAGAGTTGGTATGATATGGATGTGTGTTTCCCAATTCGAGAACACGAAAATAGACTTTCTCAGTAATGAGGATTTATTCAAGCTGTCTATAACAATTGACTTTACACAATCAAATGAATACTCATGCACAAATCAAACATATCCACAACGACTTACTGCTAGCTTGATGCTCTACACGAGGCCAACAAGTAAAATACATTACCGCCATAGAATGGCTTTAGCGCCAATTAGCAATAGCATGGACTGCCTTTGTGAGTATATTAGATTGCATTTAGCTGCTAGCTAGCTGTTGTAGTCTCTTTGTCTTGTTTTGCAATACTTTGCCATTTACATTCTATATATATATCTCACTAAAAAGTTAGAGTTGCAAAGCTTGGAAGCCCATGATTCATGAGATGAATGTGCTGAAAACAACACAGAGTGCAGCCATTTTTTAAATTTGCGAAAATGTCATCATAATAATTTAAAGAAATTCTATAATCACGTAAAAAATAGCCCATTCAACACATTGAGGCTGATATCACCGCATATATTTCAGCATTTGGCCTGGGTCGCATATTCGTCTTGATGAGAAGAAAAACACAAAGTACTGCAGTCTGCAGGGGGATGATGAATGAGAGAGAGAAAGTAAAAGAGAGTGATCATCCAAAGCCAAATAAGAGTCACCCCGAGGTGGAGAAAGGGAAAGACATACATAGAGAGAGGAGTAAGAAGACAGCTAGATGAGAGAGGGAGAAGCAGTCATGTGCAGAGATTGAGAGACAGACAGATAGAAAGGCACAAACACACACATCCAAAGGGGGAGGGGGCTTTTGAAGGCCGGATAGATTGCTTTGAGGTGAGGATTGAAGCTGTGAGGGAGGCTGCCGAGAGCTCTGCCCCAGAATCAGCTGTCTGAACTCAGCTGTCAGCCATGAGGGATTACAGCAGGCCGGGTCAAGGAGAGCACACTCTCACAAACAAGGTGTCACTTAGAGCTGTATACAACTTGTAGAAATAATATTCTTCACCAAAACAGACCTCCTTTATTTCCAGAAGGCTTCAGTTTCCTAATATCCTATCTGCTCCAAACTAAAAAAGTCATAAATCAGGAACATAGGACTCTGCAGGCCCGGGGGACGATGAGGACTTGGACCACAAGACACATCCTTACCATTTTTGGCATTGATTTTTTTAGTTGACTACATGACCCGACAACAAGCCACTAGTAATTACTTCAAAGTGATTTTCAAATATGAACTAAAATGTCCCCCGCAGGACTCAGGGCTTGTTCTTTTAGTTGGTCAGAATTGCGAGAAACAACTCTAGTCAGACGCCAGGCCAATGGAGCAACCTGCCACAGGATCTGAGGCTAACTGAAACTCTGGGCAAACATCCGGCCAAGCTGCAATGGAGACAGTGGGGTTTCAGTCTTTCACAGAAGATATGTAGACTTTAGGCTGTTCTGATATCAATAGGGAGCATGTTTTACCATTGGTAACGGATTACATGTAACTGCTTTACAGGATACAAAATATGTTCCTGATTGTGTGCCTCTACTGTAAAGCTGCTACATGTGCAGTAGCTGGACACTGATCTATTAAACAAAACTACAACTTGCTTTAATTACCAAGGTAAACTAAAATAGCATTTGTAAACCAACTATTCTTAAGTCCTAATTTATCATGTATTAGGATACATCTTTGATATTGACATTCTGATGAAGGTACTTCAAAAATAAATAAAGGAAATACAACAAAAAAAATATTTTATACACATTTTTCTTTCTGTAGTTTTACAGAATGCACTTATGTAAAAGCCATCCTATATATATTTTCTTCTCTGGTCTTATTTGCATTGGGTCTGATATTGAGGTATTCCAAAGGTAGTGGAAATAAATAGGGTTACCATAGCAGCACTTTGAATTGCTGTGTGCTGAAAGGTGCTATATAAATAAACTTGCCTTACATTACTTTAATATTTGGATAGTTAAATAAGGTTACTGATCATTTTTTTCACATGAATATGGTCACAAAATAAATGTTTAAAGTAAACCTCCTAAGCCTGTTCGCAAGTGAGCCGATTAGTCTATTAACTGCAATGTCAGACTTAGTACACTTAACTTTTCATCAAAATCTTCACATGCATTCATGATGAGTTCTTATACTTGAACTTCTTATACTGTAATATAAAGTAGTATGAACCCCACTGATCTCTAGTCTGAACGATAGATTTAATAACTCAAGGATGAATCATTATTCAACATGACTGCCGTTCAGGATGTGTTTTTTCTGCAGATTGTTGGAAAACGTCCAAGATGTTCTTGTTAAAACAGACATTTGGTGAAAATCAAATCAATAATCCTGAAAGTTTGATGATGAAATTACATTCTGAGGATGTGGTGGTGCCTTCATCAGGTTTGTCATGAACATATTTGCAAGACTCTAACTGACAGCTTCTCTTACTGCCTGGAACATCCATCATGAATATTTCATGAAGTGAAGAAAACATTGACAACATCCAAAATAAAAAAAGAAATGTCTGGATTGGCGCATATGTGGAACCTATGGACCTTGTCTGACTAGAACTATAATATGTAAACCATGAGGTGATAGCTGCCTGACACAGAAATGAATTCTTGAGTCATATTTTCTCCAAAAAATATTTTTCATGGAGGTGCTACTATATCTGGTTGGAGAAGGAGTGAGCATACTGTAAAGCCTAAACTTATCTGTTTTACTCTCTTAAATTCATTTGA